AGGGGAACGACAGCATGAAAAGATAGCAAAGGTCATCAAACCAGACCGTAAAAGCACAAGTGGGAGTTGGTTTTACGACCCTGTAAAGTAAAATCCAAACTAGGTCTACCACCTCAGTCGACGAACCCTAACTCCGAAAGAGACCTATGAATAGGGAAAACTCTTTACACCGAACAGTCTACCTAGTTCACTGACGTTAGCCACGCCTAAGTTAGTGTTTACCAGTTAATACCATAATGTTGAGACAAAAGTGGGTTGGACTCTCTTTTTGTTTTTGGCTAAACAAAAAACCACCAGAACGACGCTACCTTACAACGGTACCGAGGGTGAATACACGAGAAATAGAATTTGTGTAACACTCCGTAGAAAAAACGGGAACGTTCGAAAGACAATCTACACCATCTTACAACACGACAGTTAACCAAGATACCAAGAAATGAAAAGAGAATAAGTCCGTTTTCTCCTCTACAAGGAGTATTTAAACACTCAAACACTAGCAACTTAAGGTCTCTAGGATGCTGTACACTTTGGTCCCACCGAGAGGGAGTTAGTCGGTAGTAGCCGACTACGCTGGACCTGACCCTGACTTCCAGCATGAAAGTAGTCAGATACCTCATCCACAACAGGTCCGTTCACGTTCGAAACAATTCGAGTTGTCTCTAGAGAAGTTGAAACCTCCTACTTCTTGAATAAACCGCTCTAAATGGAGAAAAAGACGTTCGGCTTCAATGAGAGGGAGAACCTCCCCCTCATCAATTTCTCGGACCTCTCCGTTATCTTCCGGGTGGACACACTCAACCATAAGTAGTACCTACCTAAGTCCGTTTCGAAGTATGTCTCTGCCTCTGCTGGCAAAGATACCCATGGATGTCGTTTTCGACCGGTCGCGGAGGAGGGAGTACTGCGTGTGTACCGTTCCCCGCTTAAAGTGACGTAAGGAGTTATGAAAGTATACAACTCTCTTACCAAGCTAAGAGCTTCTCTTGACCCGAGAAGAGGTGACGTCGCCGAGAGAATGAGGTTCGTACCGTTGGACTGGAAATAGTCTTAAACTCTTCCCACCCATGGTGAGTTTGGCGGCAGAGTTATTTAACTCTACTACTCAAATGCTACCACGTGGTGGTCGGTTATGTTAGGACTCCCGAGTCTCTTCGTTATAAGACTCCGTACCTCAGGGTTCCACACCGGACGCTCCACCTACCGACCACAATTTCTCAACCCTACCGTGTTTACAGAAGGTAGTACCTGTGTAGGACTCCGTAGGGGTCGAGGGTGGACCATGCACCTTCCCTAGAAAGAGGTCTTACCTGTTGTTCACCTCAACTGACGTCCCGCCCACGAGTTCAACCTCAGTAGTCCTCAATCCGAGGAAGTAATGAGACTTGAAACTCGTCTGGACAGTCTCAAGGTGGGGTGTCAGACTTCCTGTCTCCTCACCAGAGTCACGACGTTCTTCATTTCTGCTCATGAAGACCTTCTCACTCCTTCCCTCCCCCTGACAAATTGCCAAGATTGTTTTTTTCCTGTATTTCCTCAACCCCTCTGATACGGAAATAAAAAATAGACAAATAATCAAAATACAATACTGAAAGAAATCCGCATAGAACTGAGGGTGACACCGTGCTGTTTTAATATTTCCTGTCCTTTATTTTGTTCATTATTGTTAGTTCAGTGTTCACGTGTGTGTGTGACAGACGTGCATGGGACAGATTGTGAAAATACGGGACAAACTGCGTTCCGTATTGGTTCAATACGGAACGCAACATTTAATTCCCAATTACGTAACAAATACGTATTTCAAGGAACGGGTGGCAAGTCTATCGCCCGGACCTAACGGAGCCGCAGTGGGCTAGCTCCGGGATGCCGGCTGGAGCTAGCCCCCTGCGGCTCCGTTAGCTCCGACGGCCACCACTGGGATAATTGGGTCCCCTATTAACATTTGCTCCCGTTTAGCATTATAGGCGTCATAGCCATAGACTATAAAAGTCTTACCCAAGGCTGAATCATAAACTATAAATGTATAAAGGGTTACGTCCTTAGCTGGCTAATAAGCTATATAACAAGCTAAGCTAACAAGCACACAAACACCTGCTAACAGGATTAACATGTATAATATTATCATTTTAGACTTCTTGGAAATTCTGTTATTACATTCAACCGAACAGCACAACATTTTAATTGTGTGGTATTTATAACAACATTCCCTAAAAGGCACAATCACCACGAACACGGCTAAAGGGTCAAGCACAGTAACTACAACTAGCTAATGTTGTAGCCTAGCAGAGTGGACAAGTTGCTGTTAGCTGACAGTGAGGCACGTACCTGTCCATCAAAGTGACCACTACCTAATTTATGCAAAAATGTTAAGACCTAATATAAATAAAAGGGTCGCGTTATAAAACAATTCACTCAACAATTAATAATCATTAAGGTGGAATCTAACTATATCCCGAATAATTTTTATTGCATCCAGGGGTAAAAACATGTTTATTTCTGCTGTGAAGTTGGGCATTTTAACATGGGGGTCTATGGAAATGCAGTCATCAGCCAATAGATGACCTGCAGTTTGTGGCCTCCCGGCTCTACCCCAGAGTTTGCCGCTTGGTCCACACCTATGGTCCACACGCACCAGAAACGTGTCCTTCCCATAGACTATAGGCCATTCCACGCGAGACCGCTCGACCCGCTGGAGACGCTGTAGTACGTATGCCGGGCCTGTAAGTGGTGCTGTTCTTCCGCCACAAAATACACCAAAAGCAGCAAAGAAGACTTCCGAGCATGGTTTCCATGGTTGCCCTTCTGTTTATTCTCGAGGTGGATTTAGCAGCAGAGGCGAGAGGCAGGGCTCTTTTTCTCTGTTAGCAGCCGCTGATCTCTGATCTCTCTCTCTGTCCGATTAGACTTCACTCACGTTTATGTCCATATCGATCAGATCTAGCTAGTTCTAGCTAATGATATGCCTGAGTGTCAAAGGACAATAAGCGACATTTTGGCCCCCCAGAGCGTTTCGTCCGCAGATCTACCCACCTTTGGACCCGTTATCGTTATCTGCGTTTCCCTGTCGGTCGTGTGGCCGAACCGTCTATATCAGGGGTACTCAAATACAAATCTTAAAGGTCCAAAAAAAAAAAGTCAATAAAGGTCCGTTTATTACGGTCATTCAAACTTTTAAACAATTGCAACAACATTCTTAACACGAGGTTGCAAAAACAAAAATAATCTGTATGCAGCAGTTTTCATTGTTATTGTGTCTGTGCTTAATCCCTCAGAGTCGCAGTGTAAGAGCTGCAGTTATGAATAAAGGCAGCTGCACCCTCTTTCATTCAGCATTGATAATTGACAGCCCATCAAAATGAACTCATTGGGACCTTTCAGAGAGGTAGTTCATCTTCTACATATAATAACGGACAAAGTAAAGAATGAAGTGTAGGCTATGTTTAAATGTTCGGAATTTGACCGTGAATGATGGTCCTCTTGAGTTGCCGTACAACCAACGGCGTACAGCCATTGTTCCGTTTTCATGTTTTTTTAACATGTTTTTCACAAACATTTTCACACGCTAGGAGCATAGGAATAATTCAATTCGGTTCGTCATGATCTGTAGATGTGATTTGCCCCCGAGCACCCCTGGGTAAATTACCGTACAGCCAATCACAATGCGTACAATGCGTGACGTCATAGGTAAGAGACGGCCTCCGAACACATAATACCCCGAACACATCTGGTACCGACACCGGTAGCGTTCTCCCAGCCTTAATCAACCACACAATGTGAATAAAGATCTCTTAAAATAAAAATATTGACTCGAAAAACACATGTGTTCCACTCTCTCAGTAACATTTGTATTCTATGCTAGCATAGGTAGTTCATCCCAAAAGACCCCTTCTATAAACCACAAATCAAATTTACTCAGATTAAGTACTCAGATCCTTTGTTCAAGTAAAAGTGGAAATACGAAGGTCCTACAATACAATAGTCTTTTTCAAGTGAAAGTCCTGAATTCCACGTGTTTCTTTAGTAGAATGAAGTACTATCAGTAAAGAAGGCTACTTAATGTATCAAACGTAAAAGTAGAATGCATTTACCTTGTTTTCCTGTCCTGTATGTATAATACACTTAAGTAATATTTCATTGGTACTTCCTTTCTGTTGTATTTATTGGCATTTGATATTCTGGTGTTTGATAAATTAATACATCTAGGCTAAATATCAGGTTACAGAAATTTTCTTTTATATTGTGATGCTTAGTTAAGGTTTTTTTTTTACTGTTCAATTCAATTCTTCATGCTTTCAAAACGACCATAATTGCTAAGTGGTCCAAAAATATTATTGGTTTAAAATAAGTAAGATATATTAAACACAGGGACATTACAATGAAATAATTATAGCATATTATATAAATGAATTTAAGAGTAAAGAAAACGTGTTTAGAAGTAAAGGTAATTTGTCATTTTAATGGGATACATTTTATGTAGTGAAAGAAAGAATGCTTGTTAGTTTTTTCGCTGCAGTATTTGTATTTTTCCTTTATTCAAACAATATATACACACAACACATTGACATCAGGAGTTCACAGGTACTATACACAATACAAATATATACAAAGAAATAAATATGAAGAAAATAGTGATAAAAACAAAAGGTTACATTACGAGTAAAATATTCATCAAATACACATTTGGTTTTTGATTCTCTTCTTTTTTTTAAATATATATAGGCCTACTGGTGCCATATTGTTGTACTTCTAAGTACAAAATGTGCAACATTTGGTTTAGTCAGTCTATTTCTTCTTGTGAATGTGACATTTGAATTAAAAAAAAGGAAACAATACTTGTATCAATTCCATCACCTTTAAAGTGTATACAAATGTCCTCCTAATTACAATTCTATCGTCTTTTTAGAAATACTTTTTGTCTGCAGTAGAGGCAGCACTGCAGCCGCGATGATGCGGCTGCTGAGGCGGAGTCAGTCGGCATGAAGCCTCTCTTTCTGTCTGGCTGGCCGCTGTCCTGTCATCGGCCTGGGTGTGGTCTTGCAGTCTGGGGTACCGTTAGCAGGAAATCAAGCTCCAGTCCATTTCACTTTAAGGCTAAACAAAGAAAAAAAGACTCATACGCCAGTAAGGTTGAAAATAGTCCCTCGTTGTAAAGCTTGAAGTAACGATTGTGTCCTCGCGACCGGAAGGCGTTAGATTGGCGCCGTTGTTCTGATGGGAAAAAGTTTTCCGCTGCTCGTCTGATTTATTAACTTTTTTATCAAACGTGAACCGGACGTAGAAGAAAGGAAAGATGCCGAAGACGGTAAGAATGAAAACTGCTATAACCCTATCATGTGAAAACTGCCGTATTTGTTCTGTTTCTGTCTCCATTATCGCAAGAAAAAGAGAGTTGTGACTCATTGTTTGACACTAATAGACTACTTAATATAGTGTATTAGCCTTCAAATAAGCCTAATTGCATTTCCGTTACATATTAGAGCATTTTAGCACCCTTTACATCCCTTCAGACGCACCCGAGGAATAACGGGGTACTTTCCGTTATGTGTGTGCCCGTGCGCGCTCCCGCCTGTTTGTTCATTAAAATGTAGCGCCTTTAATCACAGAATTCATTCAGACTTTTGGGCTCAATGCGACACGTTGTAACTTTACTATAAGCCTCTTTACACAAATATAGAGACCGACATTTCATTTAGAGAATCGGCTATGAGCGGAAGCCGCTGTGTGGCCTGCAGTAGCAAACTAGCTAGGCCTCCTTTTCAGTACAAGGAAGGATTTGAACTGTCATTCACGCCAGCTGTGCTGCCCAAACGTGGAGCAAATGGAGGCAAACTTACAACAGGGAGGGGGCAAAAGGGGAGCCTCTAAGAACTAGTATGCCTTTATGGTACTATTAGGAGTAACGTTTCTCTGTCCTGTGATACTAAATGAAGAAGCACCCATAGATTTATAGATTTTTTTTGCTGGTGTATCTTTGAACAAAGAGAAGGATGGCCGCACACAGTGGTGTCTCTTTGTTTAATTCAAACAGCATCAGAACAGGAAAAGCCCAATGTTTCCGGTTTAGGCCTTCACCAGTGACAAACAGAAGTGAAAGTAAGTCTAACAGTAACTCATTGCATGGTTCGCCCCTTATGAAAGCAACACTTAGGCTTTGACTCAGCATAATATTTGTGGAATTAAGATAAAATAGAGAGTGAAATCTGTGTGCAGTCCTTCTCATCCACAGTCTGCTCGGAGATGTGATAACCACATGCACACTGATAAAAAGAACATTAAGAGTCACTCATGGGCCATTAGATGAAGTACAAAGCCATTTAGATGACAGGGTAAACGCTGCAATTCATTAAGTCACTTTATTAGTTTTCATTTTCAATGGAGCCGCTTCCGATTATTACTCCCTGGGTATATGCCTTAAACTCACAATTCATCCACATTATAAAAAAACTCATCATTTTGAGCGATGTGACGCTAGGTTATTTTTAGTAACAGCATAATTGTTAAAACTTGCATACATGTGTATGTTATCACTGTTGACATCATTCACCTTAACTTGTGAACTCTTGCACTTCCAAAGTACAAGTACAAATGGTAAGGAGGGCTATGGCTGCTTTCATCCTGCAGCATTCTTTCTGCTAGTACTTCCTCAATCTTTTTTCCATCTGTCAACCTGAAAAAATGTCATAGCATCCTGGCATTTAAAGTGTATCTTTAAAGAACAATCCCTATAATCATATCATCATTTAAAAATAAACTTTACAGGATAATATGATTAAAGGATTAAACGTTGTGTAAGTCAAATGATCCTTGTGGGGCAAGTGATTAATTACCGTAGTTATTAGCAATAATTGGGTACATTTTTAGCACTGAAACAAAATTGATCAGAACAGTATTCAGTCTCCTGGAAGGGCGAGGGTCAGACATTTCGCATCGCACCTAAATTGAATAGCATTAAATTGTTCCTTTTTTCCCCTGTGTTTCTATAATCTTTATATGTGTTTTAAGTCCTTAGCTCAGTGTCAGTCTTTGGTCTAAATCTTTCAGAGGGATGCTTGTAGCCTCAACAACACCAGAGTAGTGGCCTGTAGCAGTGTGTAGCAGCTACTGAGGTAACAGCTGGGACCCCAATGACCTCTACAGAATCTGTTTGTCAGTCACGATCTGTTCACAAGCACAGGGACAGTGCAGCTGTATAGCAGAGACATTTGCCTGTACAAAATAAAGAGTTTGAAAAGAGGAAACCAGTAGTGGACAGAATACATGTTCAAGAGGAAGCATTGAAGTTTTCTAAACAAACAGGGACAATAACGTGACCAAAAAGGATTGTGGGATATATTTTAGATCACAATTCTTATATTCAATATGGGCAGCTTATGATGTGTTTCCAATGTAAACATATAAAATAAGGTGTGGTTATATTGTCACTTTTGTGCATGATGCAGCAAAGCCTAAATACATCAGACTATATGCTGCTAAGTCATCGCACCTAGACATTTTAATTAGTGGTCTGTTTTCCTTGAGTAAATCTTTTGTCACCGTCATGTGATGATGCAAGGCGTATGAAAGAAGGAAGCTTCACACACTGATCCAGCAAATGATACAGAGCTCACTCTGCACCCAGGGAAAGTTGTTTCCCAGATTTGTAGTCACACCCACAGCAAGCCAGCTCAAGGAGTACATTTCATGGCTTAGAAAATCGTTTTCCATCAGCTGTTCCGGCGATTTATTCAGTGTTAACTACACAAGTCTTGACATTTCACAAAAGCAATTATTATTGCGAAACTCTGACTTTGCTGGACTCCTCTCGGCAGTGCTTAGGCTTCCAAAGGAAGTCATGTTGTGACTCAAAGTTTCTGCTCTTACATCAGTTCCTCTCTGCTAATTTCCTTGCCTGCAGCCTTATAAGGACTTTCACATCACAGTGTAGCTGTTCTCCTCCCTGCTTTCCTCTAGCAGGTCCTCTGATGCCATGCTCCACATTAGATTGTATTGTAAAAAAAGTCAAGTGTTTAACTCTCTGATTGTCAGTGGTATTTTTCATTTAGTGGGTATTCGTTTTGCTTTTATTTTTTAGATGTAGCTGTGACGTGTTTCTGCATCTCATAATCTTCTAAGGATCTTCTAACAAAGCACACCCGATATACTTAAAGTTACCTCTTAAATCTGCCATTTTTGCCATAATTACTTTAAAAGCCTTTAAACGTTTTCTGTTTAGTTTTATTGTTAGAGATTACCGAATGTTGTTATGAAGCGTTTCTTTCCAGTTCACTGACTGAAATGCTGAACAGGCCTTGACAACAGTAACAGTTTCTCTTATTTTCCTTCTTGCTGTTTGAACAATAGGAGCATTTTAGTTTAAGTAGCCTACAGCAGAGAACCAGCCTGTTTTTAACCAGTTCTTCATTGTTCCCAACTGTTTAATTAAGTTCATTATATTAACTGTAAACACATTTTTATCAACAGAAACTAGCACACAGAACTTGAGCCTATAACTTACCATTTTTGTCCGTTTTGTTGAATTCACGACAGAAGCCGTTTTCTTGTTTGGAGGACCAAACTATTAACAAGTGTGGCTATGGAGAAATGGTGAATGGAAAGACCCAGCGATATGCAAGCAGGGGATTACAAGAGTGTGTAGTGCACATAGCAGAGCAGATTAACAGTGTGTAGAGGCAGAGCTGCTGGACAAACTACAATCAAAAGTTCTGGGGTCTTTACACAAATAGTTCAATATTTACTGTTATGAGGTTGTGAGAAAATCTGACTTCTAAAAGTAAGTTCCTTGTTGTTACTTTATTCTGTAGTTGTTTTTGGATTGAAAAGACGTGTTCACCTTGTTTTCTGTGTAGATGTTATTATTTTTATTTGAAATAATCTCCATTTATACGGTTTGTCAAATAATCAATTTGTTGAGTTAAAACACAGAAAGTGTGTTTCTCTACAAATAAATTGCAAGAGAACCACTTTTAAATCGGAAGTATACCAGAGATATTCTCATAAGTTTCTTGGAAATCAGTCATTCAGCATATAAAGCTTAACATCAACATATTGACTAAATAACTAAATCAATTGTAAGACCAACATGACTGATTAAAGAGGGCAGTCCTACATCCATCTTGAATTGACAATGGCCCCTATGTTATGATAATACAAGTGTCTAGTACAACCTTCAAGACAGTGAAATGTAAACTGTGAACATTACATAACTAAATAAAATCATAAGCAGGTCATTAGCAAAATCATTAGCCAACATAATATTGCATCACTTCATACTGCTAATAGAATAGCCTGTGGTTTGTATCACTAGATGTCTTGTTTGGTAAACATTGTGTGTTAAGTCATTACTACACAAATATAGTTGGAGGCTATTGTACTGTTAATATGTCTGCATTGAGAGAACTGTTGCCAGTGGACATCGTATTAATGGGACTGCAGGAATTTGCATTAGAATAAATGTCATCAGGTACATGTAAATGTGAATTAGAGAATATAGTCTTCCTTTTTTTGGGTCTACATATTTTTGTGTATGGCTGTGACCAAAAGGTTTGATTTGAACCCAAAAGCAGAGTTGGCAGTCACAACCAGTCCGGATAAAACGGTCCTTACTTGGTCATTAGGCAAGGCAAGTTTATTTATATAGCACCTTTCAACACAAGGCAATTCAAGGTGCTTTACAAAAATGAAAGACATTCAGACAAAGGCATTTATAAACAGTCATTAAAAAGAAAAGATAATAAAATAAACATTAAAAGAAAAAGTACATGAATAAAAAGTTACAGTGCAGTTTAAGATATGAATAGTTCACACATAAGTTCCACTTTACTGATGCCTTTCTTTAAGGTTTCTCCGAACATGAGCTGTGTACGCTTGTATGGCACATACGTCCCGAGCAGCATACACAGAGAAACCAGCCAGGACAAACTCCCCAGACACTGATTCCCTGGGGTTACTAGCCCCAAATGTTCCAATTAAAAGCAGCGGCAAAAAGATAAGTCTTCAGCCTGGAACGAGGCTTACAATTGGCAACATGATGGCAGGCACGATTAGCAAACAAATGCAGGGCAGCAGGTCAGAAGGAAGGCAATATGTCATCACCCAGAGCAGCCCAGGCAACATAGTCAATAAGGCCAAGTGTGCTGGCAAACAGATCGTCACGACAGCATTTTTGGGCTTGATCCAGATTACAATTTTTTTTATCACAAGGTAATGTCAACTGAGTTCTCGTTAGTGCTTTCGCATTTGAGACACAATCTCCAAAATGTGCCTTGTGCTACCAAATTTCAGTATCAATTATGAGCAAAATTCTCCCTTATTCTAGTGTTCTGTCATTTTTTCTTGACAGACTATTATAGGGTCTTTATCAACATTATTTAAAAAAAAACTGGGAAATTGGCGCGGACCGGGCCAATTCAAGCCTTGGGGAATATAATGAAATGACAGGCCCAAAAACTCTACAATAGAGAGAACAACCATGATGTGAGAATACATCCAAAGGACATAGAATATTGGAAAGGATGAAACAGCAGCCTCTACCACACATTTTTTAGAAAGCTACTTTATCATTCTTGACATTTAATTGTTTTTTTTAAAGTGGTCGTGGGAAACGGTTATAAAAGACCCCTTGCCCTTTGTGTTTACTGTTCCCCTGCTTAGGGAGAAAACTCCTCTTCTACATCCTCCCTCTTCCTGTCACCCAACCTGATTCTTCTATGTTATCCTTCAAGGCCCACCAGCACAGGCTCATCTGGATAGTAGACAGGATGAGAACAGATTCAAGAAAAAGGAGAACTGCTGTTTTTAGTAGTAGGATCTTAATTGCTTTTTGAGAACCTATTTTTTTCAGCTCACTGAAAAAACATGACTGTATCAGAGAGGATTCTCTGTATATTGTATTCTGGGGACATAATCATGCTTATTGTCTTGCTCAAAAGTCTTTCCACATGATTTTATTTTAATTATTAGCTGCAAGCAATGAGGGCTGTTATGCTGGGCCTCTTACAGATGTGTTCAACACTGCACATTTTCACAGCTTCGCATCACTGCATAGCTGTTAACTGTATGTGACAAGGTTAAAGTGGAAATATCTGTACCAAATTCTGACACACAACTGTTCCACCTCCTTAAACCTTTCATTTATTTTGTCTCCTAAGTGGATCATTATTTTGTAGCCTCTAAAATCCACACATCGTCTTTCAGACAGGCTGTGGATAGGGTGGTGGTAGATGTCAGTAGCATGGTTGCTGTGGTAACCAGGGTGGATCCATTGTTAAGAGATGTGAAGCGTAGTTGCTGACCTTGTACGACTGTTGTGCATAGCATTACTCAGTTTGACTCAGATACCGTTGTGTATAGCAACTTGTTATATATGTGCCACAAATAAGATAGTCTTTAAATGCATGGCCTGTGCTAATAAGCTCAGTTGACCTCTCGCATAAACCTTGCCTTGTATTGTTTGTAGAGTCAAATTAGTATAGTACTAGATATTGACCATCCTACTTACGTATCCTGTCAGCATCCACATACATAAGGATGCTCCCGAGCCAACCATTCTATTGCTACTGAAACCACTTTGCGGTATCTTCATGTCGTCATAGCTTGATTGTGAGCAGCACACACAGATAGCACTGGGGTGGGAATGTAAGGGGCGTGGCTGAATGCCGGGACATCAAGGATTCCCAGAGAACATTTCTACGATTAATGTCCTTCCTGTAACATTGTTTTTGAATAAAAAGCGGAAGTTCACATGCATATGAATTTTGAACATCTGAGTAAAAAAAGTGTTATTTTACTCTTCTTATAACACTTGCCATGCCCTGGGTTGTACTGCTTGAACCAAACCCTCACTGTCAGTTCCAGTGGTTTTGCTTCCTCTAACTAATAAGGTAACAATGGGTGTTTCCCAGTTCCCATGTGGGTTTACTTCTCCATTTTTGCGTTATTCTTGATAGCTATATCATATAAAACAAAGTGGTGCACTACTGAGAAATAATATATGCTGAGTTTTATCTCTGCTGATTCATTGGTTTAGTGTTCAGCATTACAACTAGTACGAATACTAATCAGTTGTAATTATACTGATATTAGGTCAAACTTAATTTGCCTACTTGTTGATAATATGGATTTAATGCATTGTTGATCTGCATCCAAATCCATGCAAGTGAATGAATGAATGTAGATATGTGCAATGTCAGCCTGCTGTTGGTCAAAAAGGTTACTATTTATGATTTAAAACAGTATTTGATTAAGGCCAAATGCCCATGTGAATACATGTTTCTAATGATTCCAACACTATGACTGCAGTAAATGCCCTTTCTTTCAATGTCATTTTAATTTTCTCCTCCTTGGTCCATGCTACACACTTTCGCCAAGTTTAATTCAATTTGGCTTGACATTTTTTCCGTAAACCTACTGTCAGACAAATAGCCAATTTGAAGACCTACCTAACCCCTTGTTAGATGTTATACAATAACCCAAGATTTCACGCAGTCAGTACAACAAAATTGGATTCGAGATATGCATGAAAATATACATAGCTGTTCCTTTGTAAAAGCTGTTAAAGGTCCTGCTGTGATAAAATAAAGTTAAGAATAGGTCATGGAAACTTGACACGTGGGCCTGGGAGGGGGTTTTAGAGCATGTGCTAATAATAGTGTGTTAAGTGTTTTTGAATTCAGGCCATGAGAGACACACCCTAACCAGGCAGAAAATGTACGAGTGCAGTTCCTTCTTATGCAGAATTAGTCACACTGACAGAGGAAATGAAACAACAGGGTGGTCACAAACTGAACTCTTATCTACACTAATGAAAAAATGTTCACAGAAGTTTAAAGAGTGGTATGTCTAGATGACTTGAGGCATCTGTCTCAGAGTTCAGTGTAGGCCCAGGTTCTACAGTAGGTCTGGCTACAGCTCTTTCTGCTGGTGATGACAGGAAGTGACAAGAGGGGCAAGTATCCTGAGCAGTGAATGGGGTCCTGCTGACATGTATGGGAAAGAACGCAACTCTAATCAGCCCCGCAACTGGGAAATAATGCATACCATTGTTGTTCAGCGCCGGCGTGGGCCTCAGCCTGCACAGTTATTTCCCCACAGACATGTTTGCTGTTTTCCATCTAGAGGACAGAGAAAATGAAAAATGCCTACACTGTCAGTTTACTCATTACAGAATGAGTTTATTCTCCGGGCAAGGGACTTTAAGGTGAAATATATTCATATAGTACTCAACATATCCCTCTTTTTAATATACAAACAGTCCATTAAATAAGAAAGGCCTCTGTTAATGAACTGGCTGTAACATAGTGCGCTACCTAACACATTCTATTCAAGGCGACTAGCTTACCAGAAATCTGACAGGTTGCTTGATACATGACAGGATGTAGGCGACTCTCATGAGAGCTCAGTGTTCAGCAGCAGTGCCTCGCAGCCACCAGAGGATGTGGTTACTTCCTGTAGATACGCTCTATACTGAGACAGAGTCTGATTGGCACTTTTGTCCCACACGCTGCGGGACTCTGAGACACGTTTCTGTTCATAATGAATACACACATCAAATGATTTTTTGTTGATGTGATGATGGTGTGGTTGGCTGAGTGTTCACAGTACTGTGTGAGTGTGTGCACTGATGGTTGTGGGTGGGTACACCTTTGCTGCTTGTGCAAAGCCAGGTTTATTTCAAACCTTCCCAACAGCTCATTTTAAAATAAGTAGAATCATAAGTCATGATGTAACCTTTATACATTATTTGTGGCAATCTGTAGATTGAATTCTGGTCTACTACCACTAGGTGGCAACTGTGGGACATTTTCAAATTATATTCATTGTAAATGTAAGTAAAGAAACATGGTTCTTTTTTTGTTTTATTAAAGGCTAAATGTTCAAACATCATTTATACGTTGGTCATTAGTTTTGGAGTCATTTTTTTGGAAACAAAAGTCAGAAAAATCTCTGTTCAAGATTCATAATAACACCATGATTTATGTGGGATACGTTCACTTTATCTACAATGCTGTCTATATAGAGTTATAGTGTATGAAAGTGTTAATTTCTTGGATGGGTTTTTTCCCTCAGATCAGTGTAAGAGTCACCACGATGGATGCTGAACTGGAGTTCGCCATTCAGCCAAACACAACGGGGAAACAACTCTTTGACCAGGTATGAAAAAGTGATAACTTGTCACCAGTGTTATGCTTTCTGATGAGAGAAACACATATTTTAATGAAATATAATTTGGAAGCACAAGTTATATGTACCTATTGCCCAAATAGTTGTATAACTTATTATTAGGAATATAACAATTATTACAGTCAATGAAGTACATTTAAACAAAACATTGCATATATTACTGCAATATCGATAAAGTACAGCAAAATGCATTCATAACGTAACATTTTTCATTTATTTGTTTTTATATTGTTGTCCCATGAAGGATTAGGAGGTTCGTTTGTTGTCTTTGTGTTGGATGTTTGTTAGTGTGAATAAAACAAACTGCACCTGTTGCCTGGTTCATAGACCTGTTATAGAACAGAGTGTACTAATGTTCTGGTGAGAAGGCCCATTATGAATACTTCTGTTATATTTTCAGGTTGTTAAGACCATCGGTCTGCGAGAGGTTTGGTACTTTGGACTCCAATACCAGGATACAAAGGGTTTCTCTACATGGCTCAAGCTCAATAAGAAGGTAGCTAACACAGTTCTGACATTCTTTGTCAAAATTGAACTACTTTGCTTTACCTGATTCTGTGAACAGAAGTTAAACCTCACCTGTGTCCCGTTTCATTTAAGGTGACAGCCCAGGATGTGAGGAAGGAAAGCCCGCTACTTTTTAAGTTCCGTGCCAAGTTCTTCCCCGAGGATGTGACAGAGGAGTTAATCCAGGACGCCACACAGAGGCTGTTCTTCCTGCAGGTGAAGGAGGGAATCCTAAATGACGACATCTACTGCCCTCCAGAGACAGCAGTGCTCCTGGCCTCCTACGCCGTGCAGGCCAAGTATGCTGACTACAACAAGGAAGTGCACACCCCAGGCTATCTGTCCGGTGAACAGCTGCTCCCTCAGAGGTAACACAGGTTTATGTCACCGTATCCACAGGATAAATGTCACCTTTCGCCCAGCATCTTTGTACAAGATGTGTTTCTCTGCATGACTTCTGACACTTGGATGTCTTGGTTTTCAGAGTTTTGGACCAACACAAGCTCAACAAGGACCAATGGGAGGAGAGGATTCAAGTGTGGCACGAAGAACACAAGAGCATGATGAGGTAACAGCTTACACACAAGTGAACACTACATGATTGAAGAAAACATCTTTGCTGAAAGCAGTTCACTGTAAAATGCCAAGCGTGTAATCTACAGCTTTCACTGATACCTTTTTTCTTTAAACTGAACCAATTATTGCCAGTTGGCAGGGTGTTCAGGAAACCTTAACAGTGAAGTGTTGGGATAGCAAACCAAATACACATCAACATACCATGCTGTTGTTAGCTAACAAATGATCTCAGCTATGTCTTGTCTCTGGGAAGGTAAAAGGGTCGTTCTTGACATTGTGTCCAAACTGTTAATATCATGGAAAGGCAATTCCCTTGATATGGGCTGGAGATCTTGCGTTTTGTGTGATTTTTGAAACTGTTATAGCAACACAAACACTTTGTTTTCCACAGAGAGGAGTCCATGATGGAGTATCTGAAGATCGCTCAAGATCTGGAGATGTACGGAGTCAACTATTTCAACATCAAGAACAAGAAAGGAACGGAGCTGTGGTTGGGAGTGGACGCTTTGGGGCTTAACATTTATGAACAGAATGACAAGTAAGTGATTCCACATAAATGCAAGTGATTAGCATTATCAGTGGGTTTTTCATGTTTTAAATGTAATGCATCTGACCCAGAAATGTTATATTTGCAATGTCTTCAACAGAATGACGCCCAAAATTGGATTCCCTTGGAGTGAAATCAGGAACATTTCCTTCAATGACAAGAAGTTTGTCATTAAACCAATTGACAAGAAAGCTCCTGTATGTAAACCCTTAATATGAGCAATGTATAAATCACCTGTCTATGCATTACTCCTACTAATACAAATCTGTAACGTGTGTTTTAGGACTTTGTATTCTACGCTCCGAGGCTGCGCATCAACAAGCGCATCCTGGCTCTTTGCATGGGAAACCATGAGCTGTACATGCGCCGCCGCAAACCTGACACTATTGAAGTGCAGCAGATGAAGGCTCAGGCCAGGGAGGAGAAGAATCACAAGAAGATGGAGAGGTAAGGGATACAAACTGTTGTCTGCAACAGTACACTGTGCTACCTTACAAGCCATTTAGAAAAATCAGGAAATACCCTTCAACTGAAAATGTACCAAATGTAATCACCAGTTTGTTATAGACCTATATGGCCTGCTTTTAAAATGTCAATAAGAGGGTCAGGTCTTTGCTGGTTATGTGTAGATGAGTATATATATATAAATACCCTGTGTATAATATGGTGATCCTCTGCTCATATGATAATCATTTCTGTATAATTCAATACCTTTTGTTTACGTTGACTACAACTAGAGCTCTTCTGGAGAATGAAAAGAGGAAACGAGAAGTTGCCGAAAAAGAAAAGGAAAAGATTGAAAAGGAAAAGGAGGACCTGATGGAGAGATTAAGGCAGATCGAGGAGCAGACGAAAAAAGCCCAAGAAGGTGGGTTACTGTGAGATTTAAAGAAAGGATCGTGTGTGCACTGTAATCAAATGTGACAGGGTTTATTTCTGACATGATGCTGACCTTTAGTGTTCCTCTGTTCGTGTGTGTGTGTGCACAGAGTTGGAGGAACAGACGCACAGGGCTCTGGAGCTGGAGGTGGAGAGGAAGAGCGCTCAGCAGGAGGCTGGACGTCTGGAGAACGATCTGAAGAGCGCCGAGGACGCCAAGTCAGCCCTGCTGCAGCAGTCAGAGAACCAGATGAAGAACCAGGAACACCTGGTCAGTTAACACAAAACAATAATAGTCTAACCATAGGAATTTAAACTCGAAATATGTAAGGCTTTTTTTCCGATTTCAATTAAATGTGTTCCAATGCTTCAAATATTTCAAATATCTAAAAGAAAATGTCCTTTTAGGCGACAGAGTTGGCCGACCTGACTTCGAAGATCTCCCTCCTGGAGGATGCCAAGAAAAAGAAGGAGGATGAGGCAGTGGAGTGGCAACAGAAGGTATGATCTGTAATCCTACTTTTTGTGGTAACCCAATATTATTCTTTTTTGTATTACAATGACTGCAACATTAAAGGTACAAAGGAGAGTACTACTGTCTCAGCCTCTGTTTTTAGAACTCATGTGTAGTGTAGACTTAGCAGCGTTAATAGGTAGTTACAGTTACACAGACACATGTCTTCTTCCTTCCCCTCTTGCCCTCTAAATATGTGTTATGGCCATCGTGTGGTGAGAAGTGAGAACGACAGCTAGGTTACTGTGATGATTCTCTGGTTAAATATATTTTGTGGGAGAGAAACTCACTCTGGAGGGAACTTTTGGATTTTAGCCTTTGCAGACCCTTAACATGCACAAAAACTATACAACTTATATGGGAAACCCCCAAAAACATAATAGGGCCCATTTTGAAGAAGGTAAAAGTGAATTAATGAGTTGCAGCACTGCTTTTTGTGAAGCCAAATGGCATCACAAATAGAAGTTAAAGGCACCAGTGTTTGGTGGTCAGCTATATTGGCATTCAAACTGAGCTCAGTGTTGCTGACGGTGTCCCCCCACCCTCCCCCTCCCTGGTGACACGGTGAGGGGCAGACATTCCTGAGGCCTTGTTGTGGTGTGTTTCTGGGGGAGGGGTTAAAGCTCACAGCTTGCCTCTTGTCTTTTTTGGTAAATACCAATGTGTGCCAGCCCAGCCCTGACATTCTTTTGAGCAGTGTGACTCATGCTGTTTGGGGGGGTGACGGCTGTCTTCAAGTTAAGGAAATCCTGCCATAACTCTATTGCGCTAATATGATATCCTGCCTTTTAAAAGAATGCTATGTTAAGTGGTGGTTTCCATGTTGTGCCTTTTTGGAAAACACTTTAGTTCCAGTTCAAATTTCAGTCTTACTCAGAATAGGCTCTGATTCCTAGCTGCTTATGGAACTCTGGTCAGTTACATTTCGTCAGTAATGGTAAATGGTAAATGGACTGTACTTATATAGCGCTTTATCCAGTCTTTAAGACCCCTCAAAGCGCTTTACATACTACATGTCATTCACCCATTCACACCCATTCATACAGAGCAGTGTACCTTACTCTAGGACCTAACATTCACACACATTCACACACCGTTGGCCATGCCATCGGGAGCAACTCAGGGTTAAGTATCTTGCCCAAGGATACATCGACATGTTGACTGCATGGGCTGGGATCGAACCCACAACCTTCTGGTTGAAAGTCGACCACACTCCCTCACGGCCACAGTCGCCCTCAGTCATTTTTTCAGCAGATTTAAAGGGCAATGCCACCAAATCGAAAACATATAAAATCTCATTTTCAAAGCCTGGGGGAATTAAATTAATACTTACGAGCGTCTCTATCAAAGCCAGAAAATATAGAATTTTAAAACTATTACTTGTGAAAGTATCGAGCCTGAAGCTGCTCCATAGGCAATTATTAGGAAAATCATTGTTGGACCCACAGAGAAATGTATTCCAAAAACATTGGATAGAGGACTTTTAATTTGTGTGGCTTTCTGAATGAATGAATAGAATCAGAATGACTTGTTGTTAGTATTTTTGACACACATTTCTATCCATACACTCTCTGTCAAAATGTTAGCCAGCCTTATAAATGACCTAATTGGCTCTGTCTCTTCTCTCAGGCCGTCATGGTGCAGGAGGACCTGGAGAAGACCAAAGAAGAGCTGAAAAGCAAAGTGATGGTGGCTCACATTCAGGAGCCCCTGAACGAGGAGAACGAGGACGAGGAGAACGACGAGAGCAGCGCCGAGGCCAGCGCCGAGTTCGGGGCGGAGGTGGCGTTCCAGGACCGCAGCGAGGAGGAGCGCATGACCGAGGCCGAGAAGAACGAGCGCCTGCAGAAACATCTACTCGTAAGTCCTCCCTCATATCTCATACATGATTATACGGAACATTCACATACGCCCATGTTGTGATGGGTGTATGTGATGATTTGTAAGTAGGAAATATAAATGTACTTTAGGGGACGCTTGCGCTTCTCTTAAAGTAGACTCAGAGGGTGAATCCATCATATTGTATTGATTTTCTAAAGAGTATTGTGTGTTTATTATATATGGAGGATCATAAAGGAAATATGTGATTTTTATTTTTTAAATCTACCCAAATATGATTTCTCTGGGAATTCTGCAATTAAGTCAGAATTCTGAGAAAAACGAAAATGGACTTTTGGTCAGATCAGTAAAAACATTGGCCCATTGGGCCCTTATGCTCTTTTGGCACCCTCCTGTGAGCTGTTTTAATTCTGCGGTGACTGTGTTTTCAGGCTCTGAGCTCAGAGTTGGCCAACGCTCGGGATGAGAGCAAGAAGACGGTGAACGACATGATCCACGCGGAGAACATGAAGGCGGGGCGAGACAAGTACAAGACCCTCAGACAGATCCGCTCAGGAAACACCAAGCAGCGCATCGACGAGTTTGAGTGCATGTGATGCGCTCGCTCAGCACCGCTAAAGCCCACACAGCTGGACTGCAGTCCTGCCTCACACGAGCTGTTCCCCCCTGCCCAAATAAATCAGATCCACATCATGACATGGTTGCACAAGCACAGCACAGTGTACAAACATGGATCGGGAAAATACTCCATTTGTTATCATTCCTAACTTTGAATTTAGGCAAGTCACTGGTTGAAAAGGGACATACTGTATTTTATTAGTACATTCCTCACAAGGGGTTAATGTAGCATTTGAATAATGTGCTCACGCCTCATTTCATGACACATTGAGTTAGCCTTTTTAATTTCTTTATATATTTCTGTCGCCTTTTTGTATCATGATTTCAAAATAAAAGGCTCAGAGACCAGTCCCTTTTTCTGAGTGGTCTCTAACCCTGTCGACATTTTCCTGCTGCACACATGCAACGGTTCTTCACAGCAAGCTGGATGTTATCATGATCTGATGCTCAGTTTAAACCCAAACGCACTGTTATGTGTTTATGTGGAGCATTTTTAGAGCAGTATTATTTTTTGCCAATTTGAGTGTATTCTGGATCTGCCTACTGTTACAAATCATTCAGTATTTACACCCCAAGGAGATATTAAAAATCGATACCATTTAAATTATTTTGTCTGTTTTTACATTTCTGAACAGTCAGTTTGCCAATCTATGTTGCTGTTATTCAGTGCCAATACATATTATTTAGTCAGCATTCAATTAAAAACATCATTTGAAGTTGATTTCACTGTCTCTTTAAGAGCTTTACCGTAGTTTTATTGCTATGCTTTTATGTTTTAATACTGCTTATCAGTGAGGAGGTTGTTTGATAATCAGAATGCATAGATATAACCCATACAGCATAAGGAATCCCACTGTAGTCGTTACAAGTCAAGTTGGCTTTTGTTTTCATAGAATCTAATGCATAGAGTTACATAATTTCATTATACATGCACTGGAAAACCAATGACTCAAGAAAGCTTTCTGGACATGATTTCCATTGCATGCATCTTTGATATACTGTTTGTATTTGATTTTTGTCATTTGGATTTGGCAGAAGTGATATCATTTTGAGGTGGAAAGCAGACACCACTGAGGATATTTGTGTATTATAAAACCTAGAAGTACTTTTGATTGTGAAGGAACAGGATTTGGAAAACAGTATTTTTTGTAATTGAACAGCTCTCTGCTGAAGGAACAAGCAACACCCCAGAGCCTGGGACAGGACCAATGAACAGCCAGAAGCTCAAGAAAACTATGGCATGTTGCTAAAGACAGGCAAAATACCATGAAGGGAAATATCAAACCAGGCCTAAACATTTTGCATACAAATGTACATAATTTCTTTCAGCATTTCTCCTGATTCGTTTCGGCTTCAGAAATATTAAGGGGTTTGCTTGTTGTCGGATTTTTTAGAAATTAGTGTTTGAAAGATTTATTTACATTATTTTGCAAGTTTAAAGTAAATGTATTTTAGATTTTTTTTAATGTTATTGTCATTTGTACCGATATGCATTTTGATACTCAGTATTCTCACCCATTGCGTGGTCTAGTTTGTGTATGTGCCATGAGATAAAATGCAGTTGTTACTATTTTAAATAGCTCTCCATGCCTTCAACAGTTACTTTTATAATGCTGCACTGTATGTTATACCTGAAGCACCGTGTATTGACTGCCTTCTTTGAAGAATCAAGTGTACTTTGTACCCGAGTCATGTCTGAAAAAGAAATGCATTAGAAGATGCTTCTCAATATTTTGTCTTGAATTAAAAAAGGGCTGAGTCATAATTTTGTAAATCTAGAGACAGTGCCTTGTCCAAGTTTTTCATCAGATCTTGCTGCTTCAAGTCTTCCTTTTACCAACGAATAAAAGTCAAATTGAACTGTACATTCTTCACCTGAATATTTCCTTACTTTTACTTTTAACTACTTTATGTCTGTGATGAATGAAGTATAAAACCAGTTCATTTAGTGGTATTACATAAGCATCATGACATACATGTCATTTTTGGGGTATTTTGCCTCTATGACATGCCTTTGTTCAGAATAGTTGAAATAAAACATTAAAAAAATACATTTAGGTGTTTCTTTTACTAACTTCGTCTATATTTGTTGGATGAAATCTCATAATTTCAACAAAAGTTTGCATTGTATAATGCCCCGCTACAATACAAAAAACTGGAAAATAGTCTTAAAATAAATAATCTTCTTGGTGAATTGCATAGTAAAATGTATTAGTTTAAAGGTATGTAAGTTTGAGAAACCGGCTCGAGATACACTTTTTGTTATATTCCATGGAATGCTCTTAACATCCCGAGAGCAATAAATATCTTAAGTGCTTTGACAAAAAATCCATAAAAAAATGGTCATCTGTGGAAGCCGTAGTACTGTAAAAAGCACGACCAATCATTTTAGCCGTACCTGCCTGTCAGCCTTCCATCTGTGCACAAATTTATCTCGTGCCCTCATTGGTCATGTGCGCGTTCGTGTGTGTTGGAGTAGGGGCTCTATAAGGAAGTGGCAGATTTTCTCCGGTCGTGTATTTTCAAATTGTAACGATCTCGAGTCGGTTTCTCAAACTTACATACCCTACCTTTAGGTGTTTTACTAGTAGCTTTAGTGTCTTTTTGTCATACGTTTCATTCCTATCCATATTTTTGAAAGATCTACAGAGGGGTTTGTATATCATTAATAGACTGATTTATATATCATCTTATTCTAAAAAGCCTGGCTAAAAATACATTTGATTTTCAAGTGGATATTCACAATTTATTTACATTTATCCAAAACCTTCAATGTCTACAAACTGAAACACATATTTTAAACCTGGCTTTATCCAATAATCAGTTTCATTTTTATGCTAATTATATTGAAAAATTTACCCTACTGCCTAATTTGAATATACATTTTAAAAAAACATGTCAGTAGACTTCAATCAACTGGGGAAGTTTTATGGTAATATCTTACCATTTTTAAATGAATGTTGCCCTATTTACCTGAAGTGTCTCTTCAAGGTGGGGTAGGTAGGTTTGAGAAACCGGCTCGAGATACACTTTTTGTTAGATTCCATGGAATCCTCTTAACATCTTGATAGCAATGGATATCTTAAGTGCTTTGACAAAAAATCCATTTAAAAAAAATTTCATCTGTGGAAGCTGTAGTACTGTAAAAAGCACGACCAATCATTTTAGCCGGCTCGGCTAAAATAAATGGATGGCCTACCTGCCTGTCAGCCTTCCATCTGTGCACAAAGTTATCTCGTGCCCTCATTGGTCATGTGCGCGTTCGTGTGTGTTGGAATAGGGGCTCTGTAAGGAAGTGGCAGATTTTTTCCGGCTGTGTATTTTAAATTCTAGCACACTCGAGCTGGTTTCTCCAAAATTACCTACCCCACCTTTAACTCTACAGTGATCACTGTACACACAGAGCCGTTTGGCCCCTCAGAGCGTTCCGCCCGCAGATCTATCCACCTTGGGACCCGTTATCGTTTGAGGGGTCCGTTTCCGCGGTTGCGTTAGGGCCTCGTGTGAACGAACGGGCTATACGAAAGAGAAAAGTAGCAGACACAACCCGTTTCGTTCCCGTGTAAACAACGCCTCAGTCTGCTTTAAAGGGCCCATGTCATGCTTTTCCGGTTATTGTTATTACCCGTGTGTTATGAAGATTTTTATGCATGTAAACGGTCCGCAGAGTCACAAACCCTCAAAGTACACCCTGTAGCGAGTAAAACTCTAACACAGAAAATAACTGTATATGCTGCCCCAAAACGCCTTGTTGGAGATTTCTCATTTTCCATTGTTTGCTGTCTGGGTTCTGTGACGTGTGAACACCCAAATCAACAACAAATGACCGGATTGGCCTAAATGGACCAATCCGCGGAGCACCTCACACACCAGGATTCCTTGGCTAAATAACTGGGGCCCTTTCTCATTTCTCTAACTCCCCTCCTCGACTCCTATCCTCGAAACTTAGTCCCGCCCACAGGAGATGCGAGCGGAGGAGCCGAGGAGGGGAACCGAGGAGAGAGGAGGGGAAGCAGCAGGCGGTTTGAGAAATGAGAACTCCTCTCCTCTGAGCGGTCATTTTAAAGAGAGGTCCATTGATGATGACAGGAGGCACAGCAGCACTCTGTCTGANCACCCTGGAGTGAAATAAGTCTTTGATAATTTGACAGTTTTTTATTTATTCTTGTATAAAAACAGAAGGACGATAGCCCATATATGAGATTTCAAAAGTATTTTTACTTTTGAAATCTCATATATGGGCTATCGTCCTTCTGTTTTTATACAAGAATAAATAAAAAACTGTCAAATTATCAAAGACTTATTTCACTCCAGGGTGATAGCAGGACACCCCATCTAGTCACTCAGAGAGAATCAGGACAATCTGATTTAGAGTTTAAAAATAAAAGACCTTTGAAGTCTCATATGAGCTATCGTCCTTCTGTTTGTATCCAACAGTTAAAATGTTCGAATTACATTGAACCAGAATCGTCCCCCTTTTTTCTTTAACAGTGAAGAAAATTGGATATGTTAATGATATTTTGACCGCAAAACTCAAAATGTCCCCGGTTTTAATTTTGAAAATCTGGTCACCTTATTTTAGGGAATGTTGTTACAAATACCAGACAATTCAAATGTCGTGCTGTGCGGTTGAATGTACTAACAGAACTTCCAAGAAGTCTACTCTCAGCTTTTTTCGGTGAGTAAAATGATAATATTATACATGTTAACCCTGTTAGCAGGTATTTGTGTGCTTGTTAGCTTAGCTTGTTATATAGCTTATTAGCCAGCTTAGGACGTAACCCTTTATACATGTATATATATATACAGTTTAGTTTATGATTCAGCCTTGGGTAAGACTTTTATAGTTTTATAGTCTATGGCCATAATGCTAAACGGGAGCAAATGTTAAAAGGGGACCCAATTATCCCAGTGGTGGAGCAGCAGGGTGCCCCGTTAGCTCCGGTCGGCGTCCCGGAGGCGGAGTCCGGCGTTATAACTGGAGATCAAGGAATGCAGCAAAACGCGGACTTGGTTCTTCTGCAGCCCGCTGTAGTAGCTAAAGAAATTATGTTGAACAAGGCTTATTAAACTGAACATCGCCACAATTATTCTGCTATGTATCGGTACTTATTTTAATTGTATTAACGTGTGAATGACAAGCATTAAGAATAACAAAAAATAGCGAATTCTCTTGAAGATTTTGTCGTTTGATTATGAATGTAACGTCTAGTGGAATTACACTGTTTTATGAAAACCAAAGTGCCACGCAGTAACTTGGTATGCTTGTATTTCATGTTAGCTTCTTAGCCTGAGCTAGCTCTGGAACTTCCAGCTCGTGGCAGCAGGTCCCGCCTCGGCTCCACCTCTTTGCCCTTATTTGGATCAGGCTGGAGCAGGCGGGAGTTAGACTCTGACGTCGCTGTCGAGACGTTAGTGGCCGACTCCGCCTACTATGGACTTCTCTGCAACTCTGCAGAATCCTATGGGTGACGTCACGGACACTACGTCCATTTATATATACAGTCTATGGTCACACCCGACACTGGTAGTTGCCCCCTGCTGGAGTTATTGCCCTACAGCAGTGGCTTCCCTTTTTAGACCTTGAAATTGCAGCTTCTTGGAGATAGGTCTGGCTTTGTGAGTCTAGTATTGTATATGGTATATTTTAGCGCAAATACATTAAATGTGGTGGAACATCTCTGAAAATGTAAGCGCTCTTTCACCCATAGTTTTGAATGGAAAGAGCAGAGGAGAGTAAAGTTAAACTATAATAAATAAATACTCACCTTGGTCACACGAGCCTTGGCATGCTTTGAGAGGACTGTGACTATTTCTTTTTTTTTTTTACGATGAATCACTTTGAACCTACTTCATCACCATGTTGATTGAATGGTTTTTATTATACTTCAAAAATATTTAAACTGAAAGATGTCCATTCACAGGATTAAGTACAATCAGGGACATCAATGAAATATATGACTTTAGCAGAACATTGTTAAAAAACTATTTGGATTAATTTCACCTTTTAATCACAGTCTGATTGTTAACGTTACATTACATTGGCTTTCCCTGCGTAACAGTTTGATATCATTTTTTCCTATAGGAAGACGATGCGTTTTTTAATACCCCAGAATTCATGGTATAGGCTGATCCATGATTAGCATGATATGCTGCACTCTGCTGGACAAAACTGACATCCAATACACCACTGCACTTTGTTTTCTGTGTTGTAATTTGATTTGAATGTATAATAAAAAGGCCATGTTAAAAAAATAATTGATTCATTCATTTTTTAAATGATTTTAATTTATTTATTCATCCTTTACGCACCTACTTAATTATATATCTCTTCTTAAAACTGAATCTAATTCCCTCTGAGAGGATCCCAACCGTCAAGCCAATCAATGAAAGGCAGCTTACTCACCATACAAATCAAGTAATAGTAACATACTGTATGACCAGCTGGACCCAGGCGAATAGCACTACATTAAGGCCTATCCTATCACTTCACAAACAAGCTCTCAAAGTTTTGGACAGAAAACCTAAGCTATACCTATACATCTTTTTTTAAATTTTTTTTATTAAATACAGTGTATTTAATTCAAATTACGCCATATCAACATTGATGTCAATTCCGAACAAGTTCTATTTATACCACACACTTTCACTGTGTAAATGCCAATTTCCTTATCCGGATTTAATAGTTATCCAAGATACAACTTTCTCATTAGGCGATTTAGGCGGTATACGTTGTAATTAGGGCTGTCAAGTTAATGCCACTAATTATTTTAACTTGCAATTGACGCATGCGTATTTGTCCTCAGCTGCCCCGTAGTTTCAGAGTGCAAAGGCTTGACGTTGTTGTTGTTGGTGGTTGGATGTTGGGAGAT